GCTAACCACTGCTGGGGAATTCTGGGAGTTGAAGTCCAGACATCTTCAAGTTGCCAAGGTTGAGAAACACTGCTCTACATTGATCTTAGCTTCTTCTTGCTGAGCTAACTTTAAACAGTTTAAATCACTTCTGATCTTAAGCATAGGCTAACTGGAATTTCTTGGACGCCCTCGTCTCTTGAAGTGGCTAAGGTTGGACCCGCCCGATTCACACCCAACGTGGGGGACGACGCTGCTCCCCCAAAAGCTCCACGACTGAAAAGCCAAGAAAGAAAACGGACCAAAAGCGGAAATGAACCAAGAAAAGAAACAAGACATATTTTATTGCAACAGAAAAGGCTTCTATGTACAGCAGGGAACTCCCAGGGCTGAAGCCCCCCACGGTTCCCCCAGCGGGGCCAACTGCCCAGCCTGCGGCTAGTGAGGGCAGAGCTGGCGAAAGGACCCTCTGGACCCCCGAAGGGGCCTGCCAAATCGAGGCCCCCGTGCCTCTCGCGACAGTCCCGGTCCCTCCGGAGGGCCTCCGCAGCCGCTCAGTCACTCTCGCTGCTCTCGCTGCTCGACTCCGAAGGGGCGTCGCTGGGGCTGGCCTCGCCCTCCTCCTCCTCCTCCTCGTCCTCGTGGTTGGAGCGGTCGCTGCCGCTGAAGAAGGGGCTGCGGCTGCCCTGGTGGTGGTGCTGCTGCCGCCGGGTGCCGCCCTCTTCGTCGTCCTCCTCCTCCTCGCTGCCGCTCTCCTCATCCGCCTCTGGCCGGCCGCCCTCCGGCTCGGAGTCTTCCTCGTCATCGTCGCTGCCAAAGATCTCCTCTTTGTCTCGCGCAGCCCGCTCGTCCTCCTCGCTCTCCTCGGCCGGGATGCCCTCGCTGGGGGAGCGGGCTTCCTCCTCCTCTTCTTCCTCCTCCTCCTCCTCGGCTTCGCTGGCCTCCTTCTCGCTCTCACTCCCTTTCTCCGGCTCTTCGTCTGAAGTGGGGGAGACAGCAGAGGGGAAGGGAGGGAGGCGGGTTAAGCATTTAATCAACCTCCCTCTGCGGTGGGGGGGTGGGCAGTGAATTTCCTCAAGGGGCCACAGGAGAAACAGATGGTCACCGGGGCCAAAAACGGACGTCAGGCAGAGTTTCTAACAGGCTCTTGAAGGAGAGTGGGAGTGACGGCTTTTTATTTCGACCTGTTTGTGGATCCCAGCAAAATCCGCGGGAAACCCCCCTGCCTATGCTAATAGACCAAGGTGGGGGTTGGGGAGGTGCGCCCGCAGGTAAATTTGACAAAAATAACCTTTAAAACAAGAGCCATGCAAGTGAATTGCATCAACTTAGCAATAGCAATAGCAGTTAGACTTATCTAACGCTTCATAGGGCTTCCAGCCCTCTCTAAGCGGTTTACAGAGTCAGCATATCACCCTCAACAATCCGGGTCCTCATTTCACCCACC